GAAACAGGAGGAGAAGGAGAGGAAGGAGGAGGAGGAGGAGGAGGGGAAGGGGAAGAGGGAGGAGAAGGACGAGCAGATGGAACAGAGGAAGGCGGAGGATGGGGAGGGGGAGAAGGGGTAGCAAGGGGAGGAGAGGGTGGAAGAGGATGATGCATGGACCAATGAAGCATGCGACGAAACCATTGTGTAAGTCTCGTCACATGTGTAGGCTGCCGACGCTGGCAAGCACGAATATAACAAGTTCATCCTCGAGCCAGTGTTGATRGAACATGGCCACGGGAAAGMAAAYGGCGGGCAAGCAAAGCTGCTGCCGTTTTAAAATCATGCCAATTGTCACAAATCTGCTCAAACCGCGTAAGCTGGCCAGTGAACACACCTGCAGGCTGATGAGATGGAATGTTTGACTTTGCACTAGGGTATCGTATAACAGGGAAACCCCATGCAACAGTCTTATCATACACACTCAATCGAAGGGACCCATCTGTGCGTGTCTGCAGCTTCGCACCTAAGAAAGTGCAAGAACCACCAGGATCCATTGTCTCCTTCCATTCCAGACCATAACAGGCTGGCGATGGCGGGAGGCAACCGAAAGTGAGGACATCATCAATGAAACGATAAGTGAAAGCATATTGTCGAGCAGCGGAAGGATCCACACGTTGCAGGTTGTCCACGTACTGCGCCTCATCCCAATAAAGTGTAAGATTAGCAATCTCAGGACCAGCATTTGTCCCCATAGGGATACCGACGTCTTGATGACGCACAAGGCCATCCGCTGTATATAAATATGTATTAGTAACAATAAAACGAAGATGTTGAAGAATGTCCGAAGAAAGAGTGTCAGGTCCTGTATCGGTTGTCCACTCCCCTGCACGCGGTCCACGGACCACCATACGAAGAGCAATACTGGATGAACGTGTCCGTGTATGCTGTTGTGCCTGTGCAAGAGCGTAGGCATGTGCATCATCAACGGCGTTAGCAACATTGTTATGAATGCGTTGATGAGGAAGATTAGTATACATGGTAGTAAAATCGACCGTATGAGGGACCAGACCTCGAAGAGATGCTTTATTCTTTTTTAGGTCAAGCATGACCTCGTCACTGCTCTGAACAATCCAACATCGTCGAATGCCTTCGCATTGAAAAAGCTGATTATCTTTTTCGCGAAGAGTGAAATATATATTATAGATAGATAGATAGATATAGATATAGATATATATAAATTGATTTTTTTCTGAGCAAGGAAGTCATCCTTTTGCTCAACAAATTGGAATAAAGTTAAAGGGAACTGTCCATCCTAGGCAAATCACACTTGTAC